TCCCTGGCGCGCCCGCGGGCGCTGGTCGTGTTATGAGGCGTTAAAGATCAGGCTGCAGCACTCGAAAGCGACCGCAGTTCTTCTTTCAGATTTTCTCGCTCCGGGAGCGTCACCGTGCTAGTTCATTCTGCCTCCCAGACGAGACCGTTCTGGGTTCCACGGCGGGCAGGGGCTGCAGGTTTGCTCGGGATTCAGCCCGCAGAAATACTCGAGAGTGCGGACGCGACTGCGAAGCGCAGATGGAAGTCAGACAGGGCTGATGGCCGCCTGCCTCAGCCCGGGCACCGACACGCTGCAGACGCGGCCTTCCCGCTCCGCGTTTAAAAGCTCCAGGCGCTGGTCACCGGCGGCTGATTTTGGGCTAATTCTAAAACGGGCAAGGCGGTGATGGGTGTAGACAGAGAATGCCAGAGTGATCGCAGCAGCGAGCCCTTCCGTCTGCAAGTCACAATTTCGTGTCTTGCATGGGAATTCAGGCTTTTCTATGCGTAGCGTAGCGAAACTATGGGGTTAGGGTTTTTTTCCCAAATCTCAAAAAACTCTTATTTGTGTGAGTATTGTTTTTAATCTAAGAATTTTACTTTGTCTGAAAGTCATCATAGCTATCTACATCCTTTTTTGGCTCTTGTGCAAGCTCTTCAGTGGGTGTTACGAGTGCAAATAAAACCCGAGTTCAGTTACAGTCACTGGAGAAAGTCCTGTGGACTTCACTGGAGCCATGGTTGCACTTGCTTCACGTAAGAATAATCTCGGCGAATCTGGTGCAGAGTTAACGAAAAAAATTGACTCAAGACTATTTAACATCCTATTACTATAAAAATAAATCTAAATCTCACAGTTTAAAACAGTAATATGATTATTTTTGTTGCTCTCTTAAAGAAAGATGCTCTGGTTCCTGTTATCTCTTTTTTCTCTTTGGCAAATAATTGCATTTTTTTCTCCTTTCTTTCTCAGAGGGCATAGAACAATGGATTTTCCTTCATTGGCTTTGAGGGGTTTTTTTTGTCATAAACATCACTGATAATGCGAATGTCGTCAGCACTCTTCTGGGAAGTACAACCTAATTAGTTAAACTGCTGGCTGGACGACTACTTTTGCAAGCAGCCAAACAAACATACTGGAAGATGGGAATGATCAGTGGGCTAATACTTTTTTTTTAAAACACTCTCAGCGCAATAGTTTACTTCAAATGTAGAACAGAATACTCCCAAACCAACACAAAACATTTTCAAGGTAGAAATTGATTGTTGTGCCTCTCAGTGCCTGATCAAGCAGTTCTGATTTTGTTGTTGTTGCTGTTGATCATACCAAATAGAGAAGAGGATGACTCTGAAATAGTGAATTTGCCTGTGAGCGTTATAAGGGCAGCAGCAGCATTTATACATGCCTCGATGCCTTATTTTTGCAGCCTTACGTGTCCAGAGCATCTTGACTCCTGTGTCTGGCAGATACGGCGGGCATGCAGCCATTAGCTCGCAGTACGTCCTGATTTCTTTCGTGGTTTGTTCCATGTGTCCAGTCCAAAGTGCATTCTGTGTCTCTTCTTCCGAGGTCAGCGGTCTGCGATGTGAGAGGCCCAGATTCCCTCCCTGGCTGTGGCGTAAAGCAAGTCATGTCTCCAACCATGGATCATCGTGTCTGTCTCGTTTGTTTCTCCCACCAGTGTTCTGTTCTGAGTAAATAAAGTGTAAAATAAGCTTGTCTTACTTGAGTAACATTTCATAAATCATACTTGGATAAGTAGCAAAAAATATGTTATTCATTTTCTCTAGAAAATTGCACCTGTAAGTGGAAATGAAAGGGTTTCTCAAAAAAACAGAAGCACTTTAATTATTTAATTTTGGCAATACCCTTGTCTTGTACAAGCAAGTGCTCTTGAGCACAACAGATGAATAACCCACGGATGGATGAGCGTAATCCATTCATTTGTGCGTGAAGCCAAAGTCATTCAAAATCCAAATGACATCAAAAGTCCAAGTGATGATCAGAAGTATATCTGACAGTATACTATAGGGAGCCAAAATAACACAGCAAATGCTTTAACAAATTGACTGACTCAGTCCTTTCATCTCCAGCTTCTGTGATTTTATATTTGAGCCCTCCTGTTGGCTGAAAATGGTCAAAAGCAATGGGCAATTGTGTATTAAGTGTGTGCCTGAGGAAGTATCAGATGAAGATGAATGGATGTAAATTCCCCAATTGACTAGCGAGGCTTTTTTTTTTTTTTTGCAGTTATTTGAGCATTTTCACGGGGTGCTCTGTTTAGTGTCTCTTGTAGAAAAAAGGAGAATTTTGGGTAGCCTGTCTGTGGTGCAAGTTATTCTACTCTTTGGCACTGTGCATTTCTTTAATAGTAATCTGCCTTTTATGAATTTAAGCTAACTAGGCATAGTCTTATGCAGTTCTCTAGGTTTACAGAAAAATCCTTACATCGCATTTTTGCTAACCAAGTAGACACTGCACTGTTGCCACTCGGTATTACTACAAATACTTGGCTTACCGTTTTTCATTTTAAGCGCATTTCACCCCACATACTGTGATATTACAGAAAAAAGATAACGTGTTTGTATACATACACATGCACAAATGTCTATGACTAATAAGTGTCTTTATTTGCCAGGTATGTGAAATGAGCAGCGAAGAGGGTTTCGTTTCTGATATCAAATAACCAACTACAGTTTGCTGCTGATGGTTTTAGAAGAAAGAATGAAGTAACTTACTAAGAAAACTGACGTGTTTCCTAGTCAGAAGTTGCTGCCTTAAGGATGCAGAAAGGTTAATGTTAACGTAAAGAATATTTGAAAAGAAATGTGTCTTCAAAACTAGCACACCCCTTTCCTCCAGGGCTCCTCCTCTAGGTGATTTTGCAGTGGTTCTTCAGGGGGTTGTAAATTTTGGGAAAGGAGCGTCCTCCTCTGTGCCTTCTACAGAGTAACTCGAGTTCAGGTGCTTAACAAATAACGCACATTCTTGCTGAGGCACTTGAGTGTCATGGCCAGCAATCTTTATCTAACGTTAGTGATCTCCGAGGAAACACGATAGCTCCTCATGGGTTTTGGCGGGTACGTAGGCAACAGAAAAAGCAGCCAATGCACAGAATTGATGACCGAGCGGCTGGTCTCATTAAGTCAGATTGTACCCTGATTTACTTACTCTGAAACCTTAATGGTCTCAGTGAGGTTAGAATTCACTGTGTGTACCATCAGCCTAACTCTGAAAGCAGAAAATTTGCACTGCCATCAAGCAGATGTAGTTCTTCCTAATGAACTAACTAATGGAGGAAAAAAATAGAAAGTAATGCTAAGCTTGTGTCTGCTGGCACTTGGTTCAGGAAATGATACAGAAGTCTTCCTGAAGTAACAGTAGGCCTGTGTCTCACAAAAGCTGGAGAAAGACCAATTGCACGGGACAGCCTGCGTTTTGACCTGCACCAAGAACACGTGCCAAGTCCTCGTTATGTAGCAGAAGTATGAAGAGTAAAGTCTCACACACTCTACATATGGAAATGAAGGCAATACTGTAAACTGGTAAGTGCCATAGGGCTGGACTGCTGATTCACCACAGCCAAAAACTCTAGAAAATATGGGGGGGTTTTTCCCTGCAAAAATACTTCTTCTGAAAAAGAGGACAAAAATTGTGACCGTTAACCTATTATTTGTGATTTGATGATGCTTTATTCAGGTTGGCCACATGTCTTTGTGGATTGTAGTTTATTGACACAATCAACTGAAATGGCTCTTCTGGAGCCATTACAATTTGTTGTGTTAGTGCAGCTGAAAACACTTCAGCGTACCACATGTCACGCTTTGTCAAGTTAACAGTTGATGTTTCCAAATCAGGATTAGGAACAGTGCTGATGCAGTGCAATGCAGCAATTGCTTGTGCAACATAAGCATTCATGAAAAGGGACACGCTCTGCTGAAGTAAAGAAGCACTACGTATTGTTATTTGTCAGGTGTCCCAGCAGTTTATTTACCCTAAAGCGTCAAGTGGTCCATCCCTTTGGTATCGGAGGTCACTTACAAATAAAGGAAGAACGGCGCGCTCATAGAAATGCTCACGAAACA